CCAGGCTGATGGCTGCCAGTACAGCGGTGGTGGTGGGAGCCTCTCCTGCCTCCTCAGCAGCACTAAGGATGTCTGACTGCAGCTTAGGTCTGCTCCCCGCTGGCAAGTGGACATCCCCCGAGGGCTGCCGGGCTGCCAGAGGGATGTCTGATTGCCATCTTAGGCCCAATCCCCCGGGGAGCAGGCCTCAGCCAGCAGGTGGTCATCCCCTGAGGGGTCCCAGACTGAGAAAGGGCACAGGCCGAGCTGAAGGACCTCTCTGCCGAGTGCACAAATTTTTGTGCACTAGGCCTCTAGTAATTCAATAATATGGATTCAATTTTATTTCAGCCTCACTGAAAAATCACTTGGAAAATCTAACTGTACCAACAAATAATAGCTTGGTAATAATAAGTCAAGTATTTTTATTTTTACATAATCTTTTAAGGAAAAAGTATTTTTAAAGGGACAAAAGCAATTATCTGAAGAGGCACAGAGACAACATTCCTGGGGAGTGCCAGTGTATTGGTATCCTTACCTGAATAGAAGGGACATCTGTAAAGGCTTTTATAAAATCTTCTTCATCAACTGCTCCAGCACCTCCTTCCTTAGAAGCACCTGCTAATTTAAAATAATTTTACTTTTTAAAGTTTATTTTTAAGCATTGTAGCATCAATAACAACATGAAAAACATAATTTTTTGAGCATAACTTTAAGAGACATTCATTTTATAAAAAAGCAATGAAAACAATCTCCACTTTTCAGAAAAGTCAAGGTACTTAGTAGTAGGCTGGCAGTAAAATTCAAACTAAGAGCAGAGCCCTTCCATCCCTCATCCAATACAATAACAAGGACAAAGAAAATGCAGTGAAACGATAAGGTTTAAAAGCTGAAAAGCAATTTTAAATGACACAATGTGTCAATAAACGATGGAAAATGTGATATACAGGATCCATGTGTGCTGCAGGGGTCAGAAAACCAAATGTGAAAAAAAAGAGAGTCTTGAGATTATCTATAATAATAAAAGTGTAATATGCTAATTAGACCTGATGTCTTTCTGGACGACCATCCGGACAACCACCCGGACAAAGCTGGGCTGCAAGGGAAGCCCGGGTCTCGGGTGCCTGCCGGAGGTCAGAAGGAAGCTGGTGCCAGAAGCCCGGGGAAGAAAGGCCTACTCTTGCATGAATTTCGTGCATCGGGCCTCTAGTATTTAAATATGCAAACAAATCATCCTTTATTGCATACATACTATCAAAAAGTAAACTTGATAAGTAGCTGTTGTTTAGGACCCAATAATTAAGCTACTGTCTTCCAGCTTCAAAGTCACTCTGTTATATTCAGTGGTACCGGGCCTAGGATTAAGCAAACCATTTTTGTGATGATTCTAGTGCCTTCCAGTTAAACTCTGTCAATGGGAGTGATGGAGAGAGACTGGAAGCTGAAGGAAGAAAGGACCTTCTTGCCCCTACCTGACTGCTTCTTGTTCTTGTCAGCAAAACCCTAGAAACTCTGGAAGGACTTCTGTTTCCAGTAGTATCTGGTTTCACTGTGTACTTTTTTCTAACACTCACTAAACCAGTTCACATGCGCCCATCAGAGGCACCGGTCATCTATACTCCCTCCTCAGAAGTCTGAATCAAGGCTCTGCAGGGCCCCTCCTCTAAGTCTCTCAAGTTTTGATAATTTTAACCTCCTCGTTTTGTTCCTCCAGCTCTAGGGTTAGGAGCTATGTACTATAGCTGCTGCTACCTCCATGATACTTTAGTGATCTCTTTTTGCATTAATTCAACAATACCCATTTGCCAATTCTTTATATTAAACTCTATCGGTAAGCATACCTGTTGAAGTTTCTGTCTCCTAATTGAACCCTGGCTGACACAAGGGATACTTAGTTACTATCTCTACTTTATATATTTATTACTTCAGGGTAAGAATTCAACACATGAAATGAATTTCAACTACATAAGATATATGTCCAAATGACAATTAACTAAAAAAAATCTCCAAGTAAAAAATTAAATTAAAAGTAACTTCCCAATTAAGTTTATCTGCCAAAGGAAATACTAATATTTCAAAATTGGATTTAAAAAGTTAATATCATCCTAATAAAAACAATACTCAGGATTTCCAAAGGCATGTAAGAAGAGCCTCAACTTCAAAAAAACAAAAACAACCTTTGAAGACCTTTGTATGTGACTTGACCACAGAACAGCATAACAAAGCTGTTAGGCAATAAAAACTGCAAATTAAAAGCAATGACAATTTAATAAACTAAGAGAGAAATGAATGTGTGGTTGCTATAGGAAATTCAATTACAAGAGTAAATAAATTACAGTTATTCCCTATATATTAAAAAAATCCAATAAAACAATAAACTCTCAACCCCATCCAAATGATCATTCCAAGTAACTGATTAACTGAAAATAATTAAAGCGAATAAACAAAAAATAAGATACCTACCCTTATTAACATATTACATTAATTTACAAATCTCTCAATAGGGGTTTACTGGGTTTTTTTGTTTTTAATTTATTTTATTGATTTTTTTACAGAGAGAAAGGGAAAGGAATAGAGAGTTAGAAACATCGATGAGAGAGAAACATCGATCAGCTGCCTCCTACACACCCGCTACTGGGGATGTGCCCGCAACCAAGGTACGTGCCCTTGACTGGAATCAAACCCAGGACCCTTCAGTCCGCAGGCCAACGCTCTATCCACTGAGCCAAACCGGTCAGGGCTAGGGGTTTACTGTTTTTGACAGTAGGTCCTCTAATAGGAGTGCGAAACCTCGATTTTTTAAAACTTCTTCCCAATTTTTCACGATTGTCTTACACAGACCACTAAACAGAAAATTCTTTAGAGACATTGCTTTATTAAGTAGTTCCTCGACATTTAAGTTTTCATGAAAAAAGATAAACTTTCCACACTCATTAATATTTTGTACATTTATACATCACTTCTTGCAATTTACTTGTTACAGTAACAAGAGCAACCATTAGGCATGTCTGGGAACACACAATTGATTCCTGGAAAGTATATACTTCAACTGAGAGAGGAGACCTGACGGATGTACCAGAGCAGAAGTTAGTAACTCAGTGTGCTGAACTGTGGAAGACAATTTTACAGAGGAATGGAAAAGCAAAGGGGAGAACAGTATCAAGAGTTACTACAGTGTAGCCCTGGCTGATTTGGTTCAGTGGATACAGTGCTGGCCTGCGGAATGAAGAGTCCCAGGTTTGGTTCCGGTCAAGGGCACAATGCCCGACCTGTAGGCTTGATCCCCAGTAAAGGGCTTGCAGAAGCCAGCTAATCAGTGGTTCTTTCTCATGGTGGATGTTTCTATCTCTCTCTCCCACTCCCTTCCTCTCTGAAATCAATAAAAATATATTTTAAAGAAGAGTTATTATAGTGTATATGCAATATATAAAAGGTATTACACATAGGACAGAATGTTAACTCCACAGCATAATGTCAAAAACCTTCAACGGAATGCAGAGCACCTGATTAAGTCCCAAATAAGGCCAGAAAAAATGGGCCACTGACTAGGAACATTACATAGGAAAGCCTAACTTTGAAAATTCACTCTAATCATAATACCTTTATTATCCAGTAAGTTCTGTCTTATGAGTAGGGCCAAATAAGCTAGTGGGGAGGAAAGGGAGGAGAAAGAGAAATCACATGGCTTTTAAAAGTCCCACAGAAGCTGCAGAGTGGAAAGGCCACAAATATTACTAAAGGCAGCTTTAAGATTATCTCAGATGTGACAATTAGATCTCTACACCTGGACATGAGCATTACCAATTTAGCAAGAACTTGCATAGTTTGAATAGTTGCTCCCAATCTACCTGACTCCTATCTTTTGAGAATCACTTTGTATAAGCAGAGCTGCTGCCAATGGGAGTGCACTGGGTATGTGAATAGTGTTAACAGAGAACATGCTGAGCTCCCCATTCTAGCCTTGTTTATCTCTTGTATGCATTACAGTAAACTTTTTTACCATCCTAGTTTGCCTAATATTTCCCCTCACCTTAGTTTTGTCTGGCCAATAAAGTAAAAACAGGATCCCTGTATAAGAGAACAATCTGTTAAATAACTGTTTCACCTCACAATCATCATTCCATTTCAATACAGTTTTAAAAATTCACCTAAAAACTGTAAAATACTTTTAGCACCAGCAGGGAGAATGGATACCACAGGAGAGATAAAAAGAGTAATGGGCCCTAGAGTCAACTATTAAAGCAAGCAAAGGAGAGTGAGTATACATATCTAAAGGAGATGTACTGGATAAAACAAGTTTGAGAGCAGGAGCACAAGTAGAGAGAGGGCTGAAGGAGGGAGCAATGTTGGCTTCCAACTTGACTAATGCTCTTTGAAACATAACTGGGTCAACAATCACACTAAAAGATATAAATGGGCTAAAATGCTCCTCCAGCTTCTAATTTAAAATGAAAATATTCTGGTTTGACTTTTTAGGCAGATGCTTGCCTGATTCTGCCCTCAGAACATCAGTTGCCTAACCACTCTAAAACAGAGATAAATTTTTCTGTAAAGGGTCAGATAGTAAGTATTTTAGGCCTTGTGGGTCATACGGTTTCTGTTGCAATTACTCAACTCTGCCATTGTAGTGCCAGAGCAGCCACAGACAATATGCAAATAAATGAGCAAGGCTGTATTCCAATAAAGCTCTATTTATGGAGCTTCAAACTTAATATAATTTTGTAACTTATACCTCAAAAAAGGAAAAAAACAATGCAGTGAATCTATAGATGAGTTTGGAGAAAACTGAGAGCTTTGTAATACTGTCTGCCTACCCAGGAAAATAGTATGCCCATTTACTTAATGCCTTTTAAAATTTATTTCAATAAAGTTTTATAATTAAAAAAATACTATGTTCCACAATAACAAGTATTTTGAGGTACAAGCCAAACCAAACCAAAAAAGTGAAAACCTTTTAGGGAAAAAATTCTAAACATTAATGAGTCCAGATGGTTTAGCTCAGTGGTTGAGCATTATCCTATGAACCAGGAGGTCACGGTTCAATTCCCAGT